ACAATATAGACCCTCTACCACCAAACACAATTACACACTGCACCTCTACATACACTGCACCTCTACACACTGTACCCCTACACAAACTGCACACTTCAACACACTGCACCCCTTATACACGCTGCACCCTTTACACACTGCACCCTTACATACACTGCAACCCTCACACACACTGCACAACTACACACTGCATTCCCACATGCACACTGCCTCCCTACAACACACCACACCCCTATACACAATTACAACCCTATACACATACTTCATACTGCACACTTCACACTCACCGGGGCTTGCAATGTCACCCCTCCCTGGAAAAAGGTAAGAAGACACTACATCCCGTATACACACACTGCAGCACCTACAAGCATTGCATCCCTTATACACACACTGCACCACCTGCAAACATTAAATCCCTTATACACACACTGTACCACCTACAAACACACTAGATCCCCTATGCACACATTAGATCACCTGTATGCAAACACACGCTGCATTTCCCAGACACACACTCAGTCATGCGCAGTTCGTGCATTTATAAATTTGCCACCAAAATCGCGACCTATGGGTATGGTAAGTTGCACCGGGCATCTTTGTTGAGGGCAAATTGCCTAAAAAGACCAGTATGGCCAAAAATGAGGTCAGTTATTTTGCTTTGCTTATATATAGGCCTCTGATAGACCATGAGTACTTTGAAGCCAGGTCTGGATGTTTGAGCTTGTACTGGATCTCTAAAGTGCCTGTATCTTTGTTTTCTATTGCCACAGGTATGATTTTCCTTCCTACTTCCGTGGTTATGTGCTTTCTAGTAATGACTAGGGGATATTCATGTTATGATGCTTATTTGTTTTTTTCGTAGCCCGTTATGATTTCCCCTCCAAGAACCCATTCCCCTTTCAGCAAGTAGGGGAGTATGGGTTCTCATATTTCATATAAATGTGCTTTTTAAATACCTTCTCTAAATCTGTCCTCCACTTACTTTTAGTAATGATGAACAGACCATATCTCCCCCTAGGAAGAAGAGAGAGAAAGCTAATCCCTGTTCAGGATGTGAGGGGAAAGCAGTTGAAGGTAAACAGCTGTGCCTACTCTGTATCCAGAAGTTGGCCGCCGCTACCTCACCCACACCTGTCCAATCGCCAGATACCCTGGCTTGGATAAGAAAAGAAGTCGCCCAAGGCATTTAAGAGGCCATGGAAGGCAGAAAGAGGTCTGAGAAGAGACCTAGACCAGGATAGGTATCCTCAGGTTCTTCAGACTCAGACTTAAACCTGGAACAGACTGATGAATTCCAGATCTTGGATCAAATTGACTCCAATGAGAGTGAAGTGGAGATGCTGTCTGAAGCGCTTGATTCCAAGACTATGGACAAGCTCATCCTTATGGTGAGGAAGGTTTGGAGATACCAGAGTATCTGCCTAAAGTGGACAGCTCAGATAAGCACTTCGCTGATCTTAACAAGCTGAAGCTTTCCTTCCCCCTTCATAAGTCTATCAAAGATTTGATCAACTCATAGTGGGAGAAGCCAGACAAGACGGTTCCTATTTTAAATAGAGTGACAAGACTTTACCCGTTGGAGGGACACATTTCCAAGAGATGGACGACTCCTCTGAAGGTTGATGCCCCTATTTCTAGGGTGGCCAGAAGAACTACACTACTCTTTGATAGTTCCGCTTCCTTACAGGAACCCATGGATAAGAAGCTGGATTTTAACTTATCCAAGATTTATACTGCAGCTGGAGTAGGATGTCATCCCGCAGTAGCTCTCACGGCTGTATCCAGGGCCATGAAAAGCTGGATTAGAGAGCTTGATTCAGAAGTTGAAAGAGGTGTGAAGAGAGCTAATCTTCGTGATGCTATTTGGGATCTACACGTAGCAACTGACTTCTTAGCTGAAGCATCCCTGATATTACGAGGATTTTCTCCCGTACTATGACTCTGTCAGTTGCGGCTAGAAGAGCTCTGTGGCTACGATATTGAGGAGCTGACGCCTCCTCTAAGGTGAATCTATGCTCCAACAGATGGAAATTGAATTGGGATCAATTCAATTCAACAGATGGAAATTGAATTGGGATCAACCCCTGAGAACATCCAGGATGGTAAGACTTCACCTCACCTGGTGGCTACGAATGGAGAATCTATTGAAGGAATTCCCATTGGCAGATCCACTCTGGATCATACTCATGACAGACTCCAGTACCCGAGGATAGGGAGCGCACTGTCAGGACCTAGTAACCCAAGGTTTGTGGAATGTACAAGAATCACATTCAAGCAACATTCTGGAACTGCGTGCAATCTACAGAGCTCTTCTGCATTTCCAACATACTCTGAGGAACAAATGGATACATGTCCGCTCGGACAACCAAGCAGCAGTGTCCTATATCAACTATCAGGGTGGGACACACAACCATCAGTTAATGGAGGAATAACCTCCCATTATGATATGGTGCCAGAAGTATATTCAGGCAGTCCGCCTTCCTGGTGTTCAGAATACCAAAGCAGATGAGTAATGTCACCATAAATAAGGGCAAATAGTAATTATGCCCCAGGGTGTTCGAGGCACTAGCCCAAAGATGTGGAACTCCCAAGATAGAATTAACAGACAGATTCGGGCATATAATCTCAAGACATCTCGACATAAGAGCCCTAGGCCAGGATGCTCTGACCCAACAGTGGAACTTCAGACTGGCATACTTCTTCCCTCTAATACCCCTGATTTATGCAACTCTGAAAGAGATCTTGCAGGAGAAGGCAAAAGTGATTGCTATCCTTCCCTTTTGGCCACGTCGTCCCTGGTTCCCTATGGCGAATCGGATGAGTCGGGAACCTCAGAGGGAACTTCCAGCCAAACCGGACCTATTGTTACAAGGTCCCCTCCAACATCCAGATCCACAATCCTTCAGACTGATGGCCTGGAGATCGAGCGGGAAGCTCTGAGTGGTGTAGAAATGTCAGACACCATCATTAGGACCCTTTTACAGGCTCGCAAATGCTCTACCACATCTTCCTATTAGAGGATTTGGAATGTGCTCGTCTGTTGGTGCCAGGAACAAGGGGTGGCTATTAATCCCCCATCCTTGTCATCTGTGCTGAGTTTCCGATAAGCTGGCCTCGATAAGGGTCTGAGCTATAATACTCGGAAGGTTCATGTCTCTGCACCCACAGCATTGACAGCCACTCGTTACCTCTGGTAATACCTTTCATGAAGGCAGTTATTAAGATCCTGCCTCCTGTTAAGGTATTATGCCGGCATGCCATGACTAGCCATGACTAGGTCACCATTCGAGCCACTTTAAAATGCATTTAAGACGAATGTTTCTCAAAAGGTGCTCCTCTTGGTGGCTGTCTCCTCAGCTAGAAGAATGTGTGAGCGCCAGGCCTTGTCCTGTGAACCTCCTTTTACCATGGTCCAACATGACAAAGTAGTCCTTCGACCTATACCAGAATTTCTGCCTAAAGTGGTGTTGAATTTCCACCTGAACCAAGAAATTGTGTTGCCATCCTTTTACCCTAATCCTTCTACTCCTGAGGAGGTAGATTGGCACACTCTAGATGTGGTTAGAGCTATTTGTCCATCATGTTAAAAGTTAGTTTAACCAGCTCAGGCCCATATTCTTTGTTTAATGTTTTTATTTCCCTACTTAAATATCTCTGTCTTATCTCTGTAATTCTCAATCTTACCCTTTGTTTTTCCTTAAACAACCTTAAATCAAATGTCCATCTATGCATCCCCCCATCTGACCCTAATATATATCTCTCTCACACAGTCTGGTTTTTAAACATATCCAGTCCAGCAAAGAACTCAGAGCTCAATCAGCTGTTCCACGGCCATTTGCAACAGGTAGTCTTCTGGAAGACTGATTGGATCACAGCTGACCTCATCCAAATGTACGAGTTTCGGGATTCTTTGTGGTCAAAGTTCAAGCGTACTGGCTCTATGAATGACCACTGTGCATATAGACAATGGCGAAATATATGCACAAAACAAACAAAATTAGCCAAGACCCAATATTTCTGTGAAAATCTAAACAATAATCTATCAAAGTAAAATTAATTCTTGTATAAAAATATATACAAAGAGATAGAGGGAGAAATAGACCTAATATATATAGCTCTTAAACTGGATAAAAATAGGGATCCACCAAAAACCTATTAAGCAATGTTAAAAATATATTTTCCACTAGATCAGCAGCAATAGGAATCCAGGAGCTAACAAATAAATACTAAAAAAATTCCGATAAAAATAGAGACACAAATAAATAAATAAAATAAAATAAAATAAAAATTATTTTACAAATAGAAGAGTGTTTGGGAATATACAAATATGTGTGGCAGGATTTTTAACCCAGGTAGTGAAAATCTCTGGGTAACAACAATCTATGCCAATTAATATACTTTCATACACAATATGAGTTAGAAAGATGAACAGGCATAGTTCCCTCAAAATATGCAGCCTGCCTTCATGAAAAATACCATATGTATTATGGATCTGTAATAGTAAGCAGACACCAGTATATAAAAAACTGGCTGCTCAAAGCAATGTAACAAAAGATAGCTTGGTCGCTAGAGAGTAGTAAAGTATCAAAAATAATTTATTGAAAAAATATAGAAATATATTAAAAAATATGTCCACAATTAAGGCAATGAGTGATAAAAGGTAAGTTTAGTACAGAGACCTTTGATGCCGGCACGGATGGATGTGGATGGTGATTCCTCGTACAGTGTTGTGAGGCTGGTAACCGGTGAGGTCGGTTTGCGTGTCACAGTGCGTTCCACCTTGAGCCTCACTTCGAGGGGAATGACACTGCTCTCCAGATCGTGCTGTTGGGAAGAATGAACTCCAAACCGATCGCCGGATTGTTGTGCTCGTGTCTCTTCACCTTCACACTCTATCGCTGTGTGGACTCTCTCGAGAATGAACTCCAAACCGATCGCCGGATTGTTGTGCTCGTGTCTCTTCACCTTCACACTCTATCGCTGTGTGGACTCTCTCGAGAATGAACTCCAAACCGATCGCCGGATTGTTGTGCTGGTGTCTCTTCACCTTCACACTCTATCGCTGTGTGGACTCTCTTTCGAGAGTCCACACAGCGATAGAGTGTGAAGGTGAAGAGACACCAGCACAACAATCCGGAGATCGGTTTGGAGTTCATTCTTCCCAACAGCACGATCTGGAGAGCAGTGTCATTCCCCTCAAAGTGAGGCTCGAGGTTGAACGCACTGTGACACGCAAACCGACCTCACCGGTTACCAGCATCACAACACTGTACGAGGAATCACCATCCACATCCATCCGTGCCGGCATCAAAGGTCTCTGTACTAAACTTACCTTTTATCACTCATTGCCTTAATTGTGGACATATTTTTTAATATATTTCTATATTTTTTCAATAAATTATTTTTCATACTTTACTACTCTCTAGCGACCAAGCTATCTTTTGTTACATTGCTTTGAGCAGCCAGTTTTTTATATACTGGTGTCTGCTTACTATTACAGATCCATAATACATATGGTATTTTTCATGAAAGCAGGCTGCATATTTTGACACAGCACATCCAACACACTGCGACCCTCACACATAAAATACGTCCAAACATATAAAATATACACTCTGAATCCTCTACACACACACACAATCTCCTATACACACTCTGGGTCTTTTACACACTAGATCTCCTACACACACACTACATTCTTGACATACAGACTCTGGATCCCCCATGCACACACTACATTCCATGTAAGCAAACACATACAACATTCTCTAAACACACACTCTCTACAACCCCTACACACACTATGTCACCTATACACACACACACACACACACACACACACACAACAGCCTGTTTGCACACACTCACTACATCCCCTATACACACTATACCCCCTATACATACACACTCTCTATAGCCCCTAGCCACACAGATTACACCACAAACACAAATGAAATTGACTTATTTACACAACCTTTTTCTCATGCTAGAGCTCTTCAGCAGGGCTCTGCGCATTGAACCAACCTTTGAGAGGCGACGTGTTTGTCATTAGTCATGACAAAACACACCCTCTCTGGCCCCGCCCCCTTATCAGGGGGCCGTTGTGATTGAAAAATGCCCTGGCCAAATTTTTTTCCCAGTCCGGCTCTGATCCAGGCTGCTGTTGAAAATGCTAGAGACGATAGATAGATAGATAGATAGATATACAGACAGATGAATAAATATATAGATGGATAGTAAGCACAAAGGGCAACTTGTTAGACAATCACAGGGGACATGTGCACTGTGCAAAACTATTTCAGTGTCCTGGTGGAGTTGCTATGCCAATGTACTGGAAAACATACCTTTTTTTTTTACATCAGTCCAAGTCTGAAACCATAAAATACTAATCATCATGGCAGAATCCTTGCAATCAAGGTGAGCTAATGAAAGAATACATCATAGGGGTAACCACATAAACCTGTTGTTAAAACACCATACCCTACACACCCAAAGCATTCTTATTTCTTATACTGACCTTCTCCATACCAAGAGCCACAAAAACTCTAGGCACACATCTACTCACAGCGGCAAACCTGCTCATCACCCTTCATTGGAAAAAAGCCGCACCACCAACCGTTAGGGACTGGGTACAGAAAGTGGAAAGCATCAGAACGCTGGAGTAGATCAGCTTCTCGCTATCTGACAAATACCATATATACACAAACACCTGGGAACCCTGGTGTAACTTCATGAAAACCGGTTGAACGGACCGATAGTGACACCCCCATAGGGCAACCTTAGCCGACTGCAGACCACTGATAACGATCTGATAACGCCCCGGATAATACACAATCATAGCTACAATTACACCAACATAGACCACAGCCCGGACGGCGGCGGGATTGGTCACGTGACGACCAGTGAGGGAACTCACTGTACAGGACCGAACAGGATGCAAAGTCCAGACAGGACCAGTAAGGAATGTATAACCTGTTGTGCATTGTATGCCTCGCACCCATCTCTGAGAATTCAACAGTAAATTAATGTCAACCTTCTTTAGTTTATACACTCGTAGACAAACGTGAAAGGACAGTACCGGACAGGGTAACAAATGCTGTTACCCTTATTGCACGTTGAGTTATTACAACAATCCCTACTATAAATATAAAAACAGGGAGAATACCAACATAGGGTAAATAACGTAGCAGCTAGATATAATTTTGACTGTGAATTGGTAACACTCAAATGGTCATGAGCCACTTAATAAAAGCTGGCTCAGACAAGAAGCTTATCAGATGAATGCACTTAGTAGACTGCTCCAAGCTGTATCCCCTCGGTGGTCCTTGGTTTCTGCTACTTTAAATACTCCAGGATGCAGCAAGTATCACAAAAGCACTTTATTGGACACACTACAGGTAGCTGGATAAAAAGACAATAAAGTCCTAAAAAGTCCACTGTGCATGGATAGAACTTGACGCGTTTCGGCAAAGCCTTTTTCAACAGTTCATCCTTCATCTTCTTCTTTAGTTGTTTAAATATCTTCTAGATTGGCGCCCTTTTCGTCCATCAGGACGCCGTCACATCACCCTTCCGGTTTCCGGCGTCTGACTTGATTCTCGTGCCACTTCCGCATTCCTCTCATGACGTCATGACGCTGTCTCCGTCCTAGCATCGTGGCGTATATTTTGGGGTCGGAGCCATTTGCTTACAAAGTCCTTGCCATGCTCTTAGATGGATTTCCACAAGCCCAAATTGGGCAAAAAATTTAATCAACACATAAATAAATAATCGGTTGACCATCAATACTAATACAAAGCACAACTCATTAATATTGCCATAAAAATTGTAAAACGAAAAGGAGAGCTTGGTATTACAATTTTTATGGTAATATTAATGAGTTGTGCTATGTATTAGTATTGATGGTCAACCGATTATGTATTTATGTGTTGATTAAATTTTTTGCCCAATTTGGGCTTGTGGGAATCCAACTTAGAGCATGGCAAGGACTTTGTAAGCGGATGGCTCTGACCCCAACGTATACGTCACAACGCTAGGACGGAGACAGCGTCGTGATGTCATGAGAGGAATGCGGAAGTGGCACAAGAATCAAGGATGCGGTCAGACGCCGGAAACTGGAAGGGTGATGTGACGGCGTCCTGACGGACGAAAAGGGCGCCAATCTAGAAGATATTTAAACAACTAAAGAAGAAGATGAAGGATGAACTTTTGAAAAAGATTTTGCCGAAACGCATCAAGTTCTATCCATGCACAGTGGACTTTTTAGGAATTTATTGTCTTTTTTTGTTTTTTTGACAATCTTTATTTATTTATTTTTTTAAACAGCAATTTAGTGTGTCACAACTTTGAAAACAATTTAGGTGAACATTCGTTGAACATTAAAACATTGAGTTATTGGCTTTTGACTGCGGCAGACACTACCGGTGCTAAGCCGGTGGTGTATGGGCCTTTGTCAGCTAAGGCTGCGTATCATCAGAGTCTGCTGCTGATGACTTTTGGTTTTACTTTAACATTGGTATTTTCAGTTGTAGTTGTAGACATGAGGTAGGTAGGGTCTAGTGTAAGGTATGTGTTGTCCTGTGCGTTACTTCCTGGTGTACTTGCTTTGTTGTGTGGTTTATGTCATTTTCCCCTTTGTTTTGTTTTGAGTGGTTATGTGTGTGTGTGTTTCGAGGTGTCTACAGAGTTTCCTCAATCCGTCTAGGTTTATGACTTGATCGCAGTGGGTTATTTGGCTAATGTCACTTGTGTGTTGTGATGTGTCAGTCATTATCGAAGAGGTGTGCTGTTTTTGAATCTTGTTGTTGAGGTGACCTCGTCCTAGTCCTGTGTGGCTTGTTGTCCTATGTCCTGCATGTAGATGTGTGTTCTGCAGTGCGTCCTTTATCTGTGTTTGCTCTGACTGTTCTAGGCGGTTGGGTGTTGACTAATTTGGGGTATCTGGAGTAGTTATCATCCCCAGTGGGCATTAGAGTTTTGTGTCGGATACGTGGACGGTTCTTGTCTTCTGGTGTTGTCTTTACAGTCTTTCCTCCTATTCCAGATATGTCTATTCATTTGCAGCCTGGGTTATTTCCCTTTTATTTCTCGGCCTTCCTCTGTCGTTCACCCTCCCTCTCATTTTGGTTACCAGCCTTCTGTTTTGTTATGTAGTGGTGTGGGTTGGTGCAGGTGCCTGCGAAAGTTGTGTCTCCATGGTCCGTCAACAGTCTTGTGAAGGGGGGTTGGGCAGATGGGTCAGTTGTGTGGGGGGGGTCAGTTGTTACAGTAGCTGTGCGTCGGTCTGTCGGGGTGATTGTGCCGGTGTGGGCGTGCCCGCAATCCCCGCCGAGACGTCTCTTGCAGCTCCTTTTGCTGTATATTCCATCCACGGGAACCAAGCCAGGGCACATTTATCTGAGCGTCCCTGCAGGGAGGCTGTCATCATTTTCATGCTGAAAATCGTTTCAATTCTTTCTACCCAGTGTTGTACAGCTGTGCTTTTCCATAATGTCGGGATGAGCGATTTTGCCGCAGTAAGCAGGTGTATGATGAGTCCTTTTTTATAGGTCTTCAAAGGCGGTGTAGGTGGTCCTTGCCAGTTATAGTGGCGATGTACGCTTTTAGTTGGTGGTAGCGGAATTCATCCAGTCTGTTTGGCCTGCGGTCTTGTAGCAACTCGGCCAGGGACTTGAGAGCCGATCTGTTGCACCATTGGTGTATGCAAACCCAGTCCGTTGCCCCGAAGTTCTTTAGGTCGGCAGGGTTGAGCCCCCCTGCCAGTTTCGGGTTGTTAGTTATGGGTGTGAGTGGGTTGGGTGATGATGTGAACCTCTTGGAATAGCGTATTCCACACCAGACCTTCAATGTGGCATCTATCATCGGGTTGTCTGTACACATATCCTTGTATGTTGCTCCCCCAAGCCATAGCAAGGCAGGGATTTTTCCCTGAGCTTGTTGTTTTTCCAGATCCACCCATTGCTTGGTGCTTGGGCTAGCGTGCCAGTTGACCAGTCGGTGCAGTCCCATGCCGCCTTCGCCCTTTGGTCGTTCTAGGGTCGTTTCCCGAATGCGTGCTGGCTTCTGGTTCCAGACGAACTGTCTAATGATTGTCGTTAGTGTCTGGAAGAACGTCCGCGGGATACTTGTAGGTAGCATCTGAAATAAGTTTAGTATTTGGGGCATTACATTAATTTTAATGGCATTTATGCGGCCAAACCATGAGATATATTGGGTTGTCCAACGCTTTATGTCTTGTTGCAAGGTTGCGAGTAAGGGTGCGAAGTTCATTTAGTAGATATGTGCTAGGTCTTTCGGGAGCCTCACGCCATTTATTTTCTTTTTATCCAGCTACCTGTAGTGTGTCCAATAAAGTGTTTTTGTGATACTTCCTGCATCCTGGAGTATTTAAAATAGCAGAAACCAAGGACCACCGAGGGGATACAGCTTGGAGCAGTCTACTAAGTGCATTCATCTGATAAGCTTCTAGCCTGAGCCAGCTTTTATTAAGTGGGTGTGAGTGTTACCAATTCACAGTCAAAATTAGGTGCTAGTAAGGGTGCGAAGTTCATTTAGTAGATATGTGCTAGGTCTTTCGGGAGCCTCACGCCATTTATTTTCTTTTTATCCAGCTACCTGTAGTGTGTCCAATAAAGTGTTTTTGTGATACTTCCTGCATCCTGGAGTATTTAAAATAGCAGAAACCAAGGACCACCGAGGGGATACAGCTTGGAGCAGTCTACTAAGTGCATTCATCTGATAAGCTTCTAGCCTGAGCCAGCTTTTATTAAGTGGGTGTGAGTGTTACCAATTCACAGTCAAAATTAGGTGCTAGTAAGGGTGCGAAGTTCATTTAGTAGATATGTGCTAGGTCTTTCGGGAGCCTCACGCCATTTATTTTCTTTTTATCCAGCTACCTGTAGTGTGTCCAATAAAGTGTTTTTGTGATACTTCCTGCATCCTGGAGTATTTAAAATAGCAGAAACCAAGGACCACCGAGGGGATACAGCTTGGAGCAGTCTACTAAGTGCATTCATCTGATAAGCTTCTAGCCTGAGCCAGCTTTTATTAAGTGGGTGTGAGTGTTACCAATTCACAGTCAAAATTATATCTAGCTGCTGCGTTATTACCCTATGTTGGTATTCTCCCTGTTTTTATATTTATAGTAGGGATTGTTATAATAACTCAACGTGCAATAAGGGTAACGTGCATTATCATATTTATTAGTGTGCTCTCACCATCCACTGATTTTGACTTACTAGACAGTATTAAGACATTCACAGTTAGAATCTCACGTAGAACTAAACATTTTTTTAAAATTCTTATTTTTCCCAATTTTTTTATATTTTATTCATATTAAATTATGTTTCATACCTAAATATTTGATGTTAAATGAAAGCCCTGTTTCCCCTGAATAAAATGATATATAATAAGTGTGGGTGCACATAATATGAAAGAGGTGAATTATACCTGAACTGACATATAGCGCAAATTCCAGTTTTTGTTTACGTTTTGTTTTGATCAAAGCGTGTACATTTGGCTCAGTCCTTAAGGGGTTAAATGATGCGAAACCAGTGCTTGTTGTTTCACTGCAAGATACAATGACACCCACATTTACAAGTTGCAATTGTTATTTCTGCAAGAAAATTCAAATTTAAAACTCCAAAAAAACGCGTTGACAGTTCCATTAATGACAGTGGTATGGAACGAAGCCCAGTGTTGAGTGTAGGTACTCAATAAACCAACACAGACAGCACCCTTATAAATAAAGCATCATTACACTGTCACTGTCATTTTTAATTAAGCATTTTTAAAAGTCTCTTTCATTAAACTTTCATATTAAATAAGTGCATATTGCCATGATGTGATGCTAAAATATGAGAGGACAATTTCTTCCCCATTGCATATCCTGATTGTATCAACTGTCAGTAAAGAACATCCACGCGGAATAGATCGGTTTAGTAGTATAATATGAAATGCAAAATGCATGTTTATTTTTGAATATGTTTAATTATGATGAAAGATTAAAGTAAATATTTGTAAAACGTATAAAAGCCTCACATACATCCTTGATGGGCGGTAACACCACCTAGGATCGCACACCTCATCTCCCTTTAGTAAATATGCCTATTTACTGATTAAGCATCATGCAATATAAAGCATGTAGTGATAACAGTGTAAAGAATGTATTGCATGGTTATACCTTATAAGGTATTATTGAACTTTTTTTTTTTTTGCCATTGCCAGAATTTCTCACAATTAAACTCTTTCAAATGTATCCAAGATTAAACTGCACGCTTGGAAATATGCGTCTCAATTTCTTTTACACAATGTGCCTTCTGACTAACATGTAACAACATGACAAAAATGAAACTGTGCGAGCAAACAATATTTTCCATCCACAGCAGGCGTGGAACCAAGAGGTGTGTTCTCCAGGTTAAAGTCTCTCAGTGAGTCAAACATCCTTGCTGCTTTATCTAAATAATGCTGCGACACACCCAAAGGAGTGGTGCTCCCTTAGCCTCCCCACTCCAGACACACAAAGACACCACTCAGCGTTCAGTTTGCTCACTGGGTCCCACTCCTTCCTTAGTTTGTTGTGTGAAAAAAGGAAAACTTCTTTATACAAAAGGCATTAGTGTAAAGTCAAGGTCTATGTTAGATAAGCGTTGCCTAATACAAGGTGGGAAGAAAGACTTAACCCTTTGTAAACTTGCAGGCTGCCCAGTGTATTAAGTAGCAGGCACTTAGTAAGTTAATTCCGATATGAATACAAAGTAAACCATAGCTAACAGTCAGTAACCACAATACTAATATTATGAATTTACAGTTTGTCAATAAGCAGGCAGAGAAGGGTAATGTATGGGGCTTCCTAAAAGTGCAAATCCTGGTAAGATAGCCTCCAAGCTGTCTAT